GTCATTGTGTATATGGTAGCTGAGTGGTCACTGAGACAAATGAGACTGGGAATTAAGGAGGCTGGTGAGGAAAGACCAGGTGTGCCAGCCAGATATACCCTTTGGGATTCAGAGGAAATGTTGGGATAGAAACCCACTTTCTGTAGTTCTAGAAAGAAGATCAAATAACTGGAACAAAGAGAAAAGAATACATCAAACCACTAAGATCAAAAAAGATGTCTGTCATCAACAGAAGAAATGAAGGCAATAGAACTGAACACCAGTAAAGTTAATGAGATGTGGCTCTGGAAGAAAGAGACAAAACCAGCTGTGGGCAAAAGGAAGGTGGACTGTGAAATAAGAGACTGGATTAAATTACCAGAGCATAAGAAATAAAAGAAAACGGTGAGTTAGTAGGAGGACTGAAAAAGATAGCAAGGGATATGCAGCAGGAACTGAGAGGTACTGGTACGGGGATTTGAATGGGTTAGCCTGGATACATTAGAACTTGGAACAGAGATCTTGAAAGTAGTTGAGGAGACTGGGACTTCAGTAAAAGGCAAGAGATGGAGTAGAGTTAAAATTGCAACAGAAATAAGATAGGAAGTAACAGAGCAAAAATTGTGCAAAACTCACCAGAGCAGCTAAAAAGGAACCAACATTTCTGAGGCCCACCATCTATGTAAAAACAACTGGCAAAGCATCTTGTTACCCTCCAGTGTGATAACATACACAGAAAAAGAGCTGTCACTTAATCTGCTATTATATAAAGAAGCTTGAGGTGCTGGAAGTACATGTTCCAGTCCTTCTATATATGAATGTATGTATACAGGTATAAGATATATTTTGATATAAAAAGATGGGACTTTTCTTTTTGAAAAAAAAAAGCAGATTCATAAAGTGAATGCACAAAAAAAGGTCAAGTACTTTCCTGTTACATATCTAACATAAATTAATCTTGTTTGTGATTTTACATAAAGTGTTTAAGGGTTCAGAAAGAAACCTATTATTTGTATTTTCTTAATTTTTACATGACAAAGTATGCATTGGGAATACAGAACCTATCTGTGGAAGTTTCTGGATCACTGTGAACTAGTTCAGAAAACAAATAAGGGTTTTTCTTTGGAAGCACATGCAAGAAACACAGTCTTGTCCCCAAGATAGTGAAGGCCGGAGTGACCTGTGATTAGTACAAATGACTTTTTTATTTCTTCAATATCATGGTTTCATGATGCTGGACTTGGACAGTAAAATGCATAGTCTCCACAGCTTTCCTGCTTTGAGTGGTTCTTGAGGATCATAAGGTAAAACTTCTGAGTCAAGCAGGGAAGATCTGAAGGGCAGTGTTGTGACACAGAGTATGAAGTTCATTGTAATTGGAGTCATATCTGGGATTCACATCAGGGACAATAATCTTTTCATGGTTTATGCCAGAGGATCACTTACAAGGAAATCTTACAACTTCAAAGGTGTCAGTGCAAAGTTTTTGAACTTCACACACGTTGTTAGATAAAGCTCACTATTCTAGAAGGTATTGGAGGTAACTCAGTCTTGCCATCCATTTGCACTTTCTCGTAATTTAGACAGCTCTGTCTATAACGTTCGTGCTGTATGGACACATATGAAAGTGATTTTTAGGAAGTCCTAAAATTCCTCTTGCCAGAAATACAAGGATCTTTACTACAATCATTTGCATATTTACAAATTACATCCATTGTAAGACAGGTGTTTGGTTTTCTTTTTTTCCCCCCTCCCAGACACCTTACAACCACCATAAACTAGGGAAGTCTGAGAAGAACATGAGATCATTGTTCTTTTCAAAAGTGCTTTGGCATGTTTAATGGCCACAAAGTACACAGGACTTCATCTTAACATTATGCTGAGCATTTCTTGCAGCATTATAAATAAAATGGGAATAGGCAAAAAAACACTCCTGAGAGACATAAACTCCAGATTTAATACATTTTGAAAATTAGATGAACTGGGGTAATGTTCCAAAACAGCTTAAAAGCCAGTCACCCTTGCAGATGTTGAATACCTGTGGCCCCTTTTCTCCTTGAGCTTAATTTCCTGTTTCTTACTGAATGTGTGCTCTGTGCCCTTTCACTTCAAGATCTCTAACAAATCTTATCCCATAAACCAAACCTTTTAAAATTCCTGACATGTCCAGAAACTTGATTTCAGTAACAGGACAAAGAGAAAAATAATATAATCCTCACCATTTTCAGTGGCTTCCAGAAAAATATTTTTCTAACAGCTGAATCCAGTCTTCATTCTTAGCTGTTATCTCCCCCTTCCTCATGTGACTAGCATAACAGAGCTTAAGTTTTCATCTGATAACATGGATTTGGTTGCTGTGACTAGTGATGCTTCCATTCATATGAACTGTTCTAGCCTGCTTTGTTCTCAAAAGTTTTGCCTTCTGTTCCATATAGTGCAGATTTTATCCCAGTATCTATTATTTGGCGGATTGTTGATTTTATTATCATTGTAATGGACATCTTAATGTCCAAACTGCTCTAGGAAAACATTTCAGAGAAAATGAATGTATTTGTAGAGAAATTGTGCCATCCAGCAAATTGTATGGGCTGTTGCCTCCAAAGAACATTACTTGCTTTTCTATGTTTGTTTGGAGGGCATATTTACTCAGAAGATGCTCAGACTCCTTTTTTAAAATGTGATGAAATTGTTGGAGGATTCTTTGCATCTATGAGACAATCTAGAGTTTAAACAGGTGAAAGTATTACTGGCTAAGGTACATTAAGGAGTTGTAATCACATGCAACTCTTTCAAACTAATTTATGCTTTTCTAACTTCTAGCAATGTACTTTTTTTTTTTTTTTTCCCAGTTTAAGGATATAAAACTTAGGGAATATTGAACAATAATACATTGGTAACTAACAATTGCATTTAATTTGTTTTTCTGCTTGAACTAGTCACTGTTTGGACACAGATAGGTTTTTCCAGGGAATAAAAGTATCATCAGATTGCTGATAAATTAGTAAGAACCTTATAATTTAATTCAGAGAGCTGTAAATAAAGCTGAATACAGAGAATTAAATATATCCTTGGGTAAACAAGAGCTGAGGAAGAGATTTCAGGTCTGAAACATGAAAATTGATACAAATGTGTGGTCTTAGCCAGGAGAGCTGCATGGTGAGGTTTCCAACTTAATCTTCTCAGTAGGTTAGTTGGCTTACTGGAACACATCTCTCTCCTTAAAGCAACTTATCTCCCACCCAAGTCCACTGAATTCAATGTGTGGCTTACTTCTGGGTAGAAACAGGTCCCTCTGAGAAATATGAGACCTCTCTCATGTGTTTCCCTGGACTCGAACCAGCTGAATTGGTTCATTAAAAATGAGTCTGGGAGCACTTCTGTATTTTGTTGATGTCAGGGGTCAGCAAGTAGATCGGTAAGACAAAACTGTAAGGGTATTTTATAATAGATGGGCATTTAAACACCAAAGTACTGATTTCATGGTTCAAAAAGATAGACATGTGCACTTTAAAATGGCTCAGGATTCAATACTATAATGAGTGCAGTCTGTGAAGAAACCATCATGAGACTATACAGGATCAGTAACCAAAGCCCTTAAGTCTCCTAGGAGCTTTGTGAAATAAAATAAAAAAATCACTGAGGAGAGGTTATGCATTCAAATTATTCTGCTGTCATATGAAAAACCGCTCAACAATGTGATTAAAGGCTTGCTATCTGTTTGCAAGAAAGTATGGTTTTCAACAGAATATTGACTTCAGTGGAGCTATTTTCATAAGCTATCACCAAGGAAAAGATTTCCACTTCAATCTTTTTTAGTGATGGTTTTGATCCTTTGTCAGGGAAAGAATGTGTCACAAATTCATGAACAAATACATTTTGGTATTGGAAAAGAATGCAGAATGTATTAAAAAAAAGTAGTGAATGAAACATTAGTAATAGTTTAAAGCAATAATTAACAGTGAATTGACAAAGCAGGAGATAAACAGTCACTGCTATATGTCAATTTTTTAAGTATTATTACAACATATCATCTAGCATGTTTATTTTGAGAATATAAGTACTGAGTAAAAATACATAATAAATAAACATGGATTAAAAAGTCCGAATTGAATTTCTAGTCAAATATGCATGAATGTGCATGCACCTGGTAGACAGTAGTGGCATTTTCCTGTTCTGTCATGGTCCCATTTGATAAACATTAATATTTAAAGATTTATGACTTCCATTATGTCTACAATATTTCTCATGAAAGTCTGGAACAAAAATACTTCCTGAAGTCAGGTAGGTCCAGCATGAATTGGTACTGGAAGTGTTTGTAATGACTGCCTACATCTTAGACTCTGTCTACACAGGAGCTTCCTTATTGGTACATGAGTAGGGTTCACTTTACAGTTTCTAATGTGGCTGGAAATACATTTTGTATAACAGCTCTCTTCTCCCTTTTATTTCAGGAAAACAAGCTATACCAGTAACTAAGGGGTTTACTTACGCTGAAGTCTGCTGAACACAATGATGTTGGTCAGCAATCACATCCTCACAGCTGTAGCCAAGACAGATGTAGCATTTATTTATCAAAATATTGGTTCTTTGCCAGATGTAGATAGTAAGTTGTTCTTATGAAAGAGTCAGTGCTCACTGTCACTCATTGAGATACAACACAGAAGTAACATGTGTAACCTCCTTTTTCACTATTGTACTTCAAAGCCACTTTTATGGAAGCCCCAGACACCAGGCAAAACAATGTCTTTACTTCCTTAGTCTAAGCACACCATCTCTGAAGTTCCATCAGCACATTAGTAACTTACATAATCTGTATGATAAGAAGCTTCATGTATTTTTCCAGATAACCCACTTAAACTAGAATCTCTTTTCAATATTTTCATACCATTAGTTAGTTACCTGTTACAGTGACAGACTTGGAATATTTTGTGCCTTCTTACTCTGCTCTTAACCACTAAGTTTCACTGTCAGCATCACTTCGGGTTCTCTGGGAGTTACTGAAGGAGGAAAAGCTTTCTTACCTAACCGAGCTGCTGCCAGCATCAAGGTCTTGTGCTGTCACTGCACCTATAATGGTCCCCACAGGTGTATCCTCATAAACCTCCATTGTGTACATAGGTTTGCTGAAAACTGGAGGTTCATCCATGTCCAACACATTTATCTTCACAGTGGCAGTATCTTTGAATGGACCCACTGAGTGAAATCGATGGTCAAGATGGAGATTGGAGGCCTCGACTTTAAAGGTATAAGCCTTTTTTGTTTCAAAGTCTAATGGCTGTAGAAAGAACAAAAGCAAAACATATTTGACTTGAAATTAAACATTGCAAAATCACTTCAGTAGGATTAATCTGACATAACTTAAGATGCTTTCAGTGTAAACTTCAGCTCCTGATCTAAACACCTAATCTTGTTCTGAGGTTCATCTCATGCTAAGGTGAATTCTGAAATAGGCTGGATGAATCATATCCAGGAAATGACTGTTTCTCCACACCAAAAAACACCCAGGATGACTGACATGGATGTAAACAGTTACACTGTAAATGTCTGAAGTTAAATAAGTGAGATTCATCTTTTGCAAATGAGCTGTTGTACAGGTTAGCCAAATATTTGCATTCACAACTCCCAAGCACAAGCAATTGACTGTGTCTAGCTGGTCCAGTTCCTTAAATAGAAGACTTCCATCGCTTTTAGCAGGGAAAGCTTTCAGAAGGTCATGACAGTGATGGAAATTAGCCTGAATGAAAACTCTGGTACATACCAGTGGGTCAAACCAAACCTCAGGCATGGCCTGGAATGTGAATTCGAACTTGATCTGAGACAATTTTTTCCTGTAAAATGTCTATCTTATCTGTGAACTTCTATTCACACCATATAGTTGAACTGCATGTACTTTGAAAATGCAGACTTTTATCCTGACTTATGATCCTAGGTGTAATCCATAAGGTCTTCAAGATAGCATAGTACCTTTTGTGTACCTGTCTTGGTTTTTGATGTAAATGCATCCTGCAAACAGATTGTTTTGCTGTGGGTTTCTGTCAATGTACATCAATTTAGTGCCTTTGGGTTTAGAAAGGTAATCATATCAAAAACCTTAATGCAGTCTTATTTAGTTGAAAAGACACTGAAGCTTTAATTTCTGATAAAGGTTTTAGCTCCATCGGTTTTCATGTTGTTTTTAATGTTACTGGCAGTCTTTTCCTGCTATCTGGGTAACACTGGCACCTAGTGGTTTCTGCCTATAATAACTGGCAAGTTGTAAATTTTTTAACGGGAAAAGGTATGCTATCTGGAAAAAAGAGCAGTATCACAAGTGTATGAGCAAGAATATTTCAGTATCTGACTTTTTTTTTCCTTTTTCCTCAGCCATCATTACCACAGTATTTCCAGTCACTTGTCACGGCCAGGATAGATTTAAATTCTGCCATTTTCTGTCCTTATCACAACAGGACATAATTGGCCAGATGACTACCTGGTATAAATTGAAGCAACTCCATTAAAATCAATCGAGTTTCTTTGACTTACATTAGCTGAACAGATAGCATAATGATCTTAAATCCTTATGCAAGACTTTATAATTTTAACAGACTAGATGGTCAGGTTTTTTTGAGCTGGGAATTTAAAATTAGCCACCCAAATCTGTATGCCATAGAAATAATAAAGCTTGAAAGTCAAGTGATTCTAACCAATCCACTACCACATACAAATATCCTCCTACGGACAAAATTACCAGTAAAAGCCAGTATGACTTGCACCTTCATGGCTGGACTGACAAAAAGAAATAAAAACTAATGCTAAGAAGAAACAGGCAAAATTGTGTGGAGGATCTTATGCCCCAGCGGTGAAACTCTAAGCTGTATGTCCATTACAGTGGACATAATGCTTTGTTATCCAAATGGTTGACACACTGTCTTCAGTTTCTATACTACTCATGTTTACTGTTATACATTGCCAAAAACAACCTCCCCAAACAACCAAAGAAACAAACAACAACAACAAAAAAAAATCAACATCCCACAGACTCTTCTCCAGATAATTATATAAACGGTTAATATATTTTCAAGAATTATAGAAAGGGAAAAAAACTGGAGTTTAAAAAACTAGTCTGGAGTGGAAAAAAACTAAGTATGACAGGTTAAACTAGGAATAAATGGTTAAGACAGAGAAAGCAGGAAATCTAAGCTCTCAATTAGGTAGTTATTCTAACTGACGACGTGTATGTACCTTTCATACCTCAATATTGCATTAAAACTGTTCACACTAGCTCCTGTGATATGTGAGTATGTTTGCAGATAGATGTACTAAAGGAAAGAGGCAAAATCCATGCATTCCTTGCAGGCTATCTTTCACTGAGTTAGTTACTTTTCAAGGCAGGAGTACCAGATCAGCCTCCTTGGCCAGTGCCTAGTGACAACTTTCATAATACAAGGGGAACAGAGTGCTTGTTTGGAGATGGACAGAAAGGAATAAAACTTCAATCAATTCTGTGTATTGGTATGTTCAGGCTGGCGTAACTACCCAGAAGACAGATAAAGTGGCTGCGTTACTTCTCACCTTCCACCCAGCATTATGGACAACACTATGGTATATTTTTGAAAAGACAGTTTGATGCCACAAAAGGAAAATATTTTTCCACTGTAACATCAGAGAAATCCATTCTTTGTCTTTCTACGGATCTGATGAGAAATGTAGTTAAAGGTTAAACAGTATGTGTCCAATACAAAGTACAGGTGGCATTCAACATTAGAAGAGACAAGCAGAAAGTGCTGGGCCATCATCAGAGAAAGAAATCAGTGACAGACTCCCACAAAATGGTTGGAATTAATGATCTTAAAGGTCTTTTCCATCGTAATTGCTTCTGTGATTCTATGATCCTATGAAAAAAACAGAACTTAGCCTTATAGCATATGAGAGGCTAAACTACAACTGAAAGGTCTGCGGAAAGATGGGAAATGTTGCAAATAGTAAGCCTAGAATTTAATTTCAAAAAGAAAAATATTTTGTACACCATACATCATGCAGCAAAAGGGTATGGTTTTAACGTATTGTGTTTATGGGCAGCCCATGATACAATCTTCTGATTAGTTCTGGTCTGCCCAGTTTTAAACAGTTCAGCCATAGAGATAGCTATTGATAGTCTTAAATTTTGGCATTTTTCTGATTATGCCTGAAAACAAAAGAATCGAATGTATGCCTAGCTCTCAGGCAAAACCTTTTTTATTTTTCATTTTCAAGATGTTAAAATAGCATTTCTTCATATTTCTTTTTTAGTACATGCCACTAAAGTCTGTGAAGGAAATAAGTGATCCATACAATTTTTTAGCCGCTTTTCTTTTTTTTTTTTCCTTTTAAGACATATTTTGCTGTTACATAATAAATGTCTGACAGTGTTCAGTCATATTTTCAATTAAAATCTGGAGTGCTGGTAAGATAGCAAAATGTTTGAATTTTACAGAAAAAAAAATCATTGAAACCTCTTTCAATTAATCAGATTTTAATGGAATTACTTTTTAAAATAAATAACCAATAGAAATATTATTCCTTTTACAAAAAGAATAATATTCAGAAAACTAAGTTTGAATAAAATTTTTTTTTTACTTTACAAAAGCTACAAGTTTTTCCACAGTAAACAACGTTTTTGCTAATATTAAGGCAATCTTTATTAACTCTGAGCTATTCAACAACTAGGGGAGTATTTTAATTGATATTCTAAGTACTAGTGACAGAATAGATGTATTTGGCTCCCCTACTGGTTCTTATCTGGCTTTTCCTATGTTACGGTTACAAGCTGCTCTATACAGTTGCATAGTAAAGCACTGTCAGCATATGCACAGCCGTGTGCAGCAAAGGCATTCTACAAATCCCAAAATCAAATAACACATACTAACAAATCACTTTATTTTGCAACTCTGGAAGTATCATGAGTGGAATTATTTAGTATGACTAGGAAAGCACATAAACAGTTCTCTGTTAGATATAAATGTATTTCAAAATATTACTGTTTCCCATATTTAAGATAGAAGCTAAGAAATGCTACTGTATAGATGTATCTATCTAAAATGAGGTATTGGGTGGGTAGATAGATAGATAGATAGATAGATATAAGCAGGGGGAAGAGAAAGAATTAAAGAACTGCGAAAAAAATGGGCTGAAAGATATAATGAATTCTGATGAGAAGCACAGCCATCCTGTCAGTTTGTTCTGCTTCACAAAGAGCCAAGACAAGAAACTCCAGAAATTTCTATTATTTATCCACACAGAAGAGATACAACAGTGTTTTTTGTGATACAGGCTTTCAGGATCCACACCTACAATGATGGAAAAGCCATGCTGTTGTAGATAACTCTGCACCATATATGCCTGTCTCAAAACCTGGCAAGAGTTTCCCCTTGAAGATGGGTTGAGTGACTGTACATTTTGTGAAATATTGTCATATGACTGTTTGCTGTGCATGATGTTGCAGTAACTACACTTCTCACTGGATTTTAAATAGCACAAGGAAATAATTAGCATTGTAGAGCAGGTTGATTTATTAAAACAAGTTCCAGATCAACCAGGAGCATTCATTAATTAAAGGTGAGAATGGACAGTAAAACATGAAATCTGTAGGCCAACTCTACACCAAGTGCTGTAATTTGACTAAATCTGAAGTGAGTGTTTCAAGACTTGATTGGAAGTAGGCAAAATATATTTATGTTCTGTATCTGGAAGAGAGGAGAAGCTGACCAATGTCAAGGGTTCATCTGTTTGCTGCTCTCAAGCATCTTACCTGTTTCTGCAGGTACCTTTCACTGTTCCAGGAAAAAACAAACCTAATAGCTGTATCTGCAAGCTGCAGAGATTGAAGATACCCCCTTCTTCACTCTTCCTGTCATTCTCCTCTGTGGCTACCGTGGTATTCTTTATGATTGTGTCTGCACCCAGGTCAACACCTTCTGCCTATACTGAAGGGCTTAATGTAGCTTGCTTTTCCTCCTCAAAATGTAAGACCACAGTTCCCACTTACACAGACTCATGAGTTATGATTGTAGGCAGACAGTGCCTATGCACACACCTGGAGAGGGTATTCCCTACCTCTGGAGAAATAAGTGGTGGGGTGAGTGCCTGCTAGTCTTGCTAGTAAAGCAAGTAGTAGCCATAATGCAACTCTGGATAAGGCACAGTCAGGAGTCTGCCTTGTGCTCACTGTTGTGGCGTACAGATGCTGTCAGACTGCTTTTACTTTATAGCTATGTCCCAGCACTGCATACATGGGCATGAGCAAGACAGCTCAGCTCAGTCTGTAATCAAACTTCAACATGCTGACTCCAGTGAAAGGCTTTTCGAACATGGCTCCTGAGGTTACAAGGAAGCATACATTCCAAATACCTCCCTGCAGCTACTGGGTCTGTTCATCATTCCCCCAGTTTCTGTTACTATATCATCACTAAAGTTATTGTTTCTCATCATGCAGTGTCCTCCATGACATCCTGTGATTTGGTGGATACAGCTCTGTCACCTGTGTGACAGGTGTAGTTGTTCCCTGACCCATACGGAGAAGCTCACCCAGTATAGAGCAGCAGTATAGGATCATACCAGATGAACCATGGAATCAAGGCTTTTTTCCTGGGTTAATGTCACTTTGCACTTTGCACAAATTAGTAAAGTAATGTCTGATCCAAACTCAGTGTTTCAACCCTGCTCAATTTCTGGATTAGTTCATGTTAAGCCAATTAAGAGGCTTCTGCACACAATAGGTTTATCCTATAAACTCATCCTTAGCTTAGCAAATTTAGTGCCAGCTATTCAGTGGAACCCAGATCCTTCTGTTTTCTTTTTCTGTTATGTGTGGTCATTAAAGATTCAGTTTCAGTGAAGTTTCAATAAAATCAGGAGCTTGCCTGGGACTGACACACTTTCCTTCTGTACCTGGGAGCACTACTCTGTGACCCATGTGAGGCAACTACACTCTGTTATGAAGGAGATGTCACTTTCTGTCACACTGCTTCTAGTAGTTCACTCTCAAGTTTGCTGAAGCATTCAGTTAGGACAGATGCTATATAAATATAATCACCAATAAACACTGCATTAAATAGCACTGGACAAGGGAAGAAACCGGTCATTCTATTCCTAATATAGTAATATTTCTTACTTTTATGGAGAACTGAATGCAGCACTATCCTAAAGTCAGACATTTCCCCCTTTTTACTCTTTTCCCCTTTTGGGGAGAGAGGAAGCTATTACAGTACTAACCACACGATGGTGCTAGATGGCATTTGAAGCTTTTAGCAGACTATAAGAAAAGCTATTTAATTCTTAATATATGTAAATACCACAAGAGTAGTAGTAATCAAGTTTATATTGGATGGTAGCATGAACATAAACAAGTACTTAAACCAGATCATTTAAGATGTTCACCTTGTCCAGCTGTAGCTGTTCGTGCCCATTTGGTGTCTGAGAAGCAGAGAATGGCCTTTTGCTTCCACCAATGCACTTAGTATGCTGAAAAGAACAGTTTGGTTTGTGCAATTTTTTATCATCAAATGTATTTTTCACCAAAAATATGTGTGGTGCAAGAAGGTTTCATTTTTCTCAATTTGGATATAGAAGTCTTGTGGATTTTTGCATAACAGCTGAACAAAAAAGGATCTATGCAGTGACCGACAGTTTCTAGCTGCAAGAAAATGTCGAGGAAAAATAAAGGCACGGTTTTGACATGTCTCAGCACTTAATTACTGCAACACTTACAGCATCAGAATATCCTATGATACAGAAAAAGAGCAAACCAGTTTTTAAAGTGCGTGGCACTTTTTATTAGTGGCTTTGACTGTTAATTCTTTATAATTCATAATTGAAAGTGTTGGTCTTATTCTTTTACTAGCTTTGATTTAAAGGAGGACTTTAATGCATACCTAACTTAAATATTTGCGCAATCCTGCAACGTCAAATCAGTGTTTGGAACACCATGCAATGTAAAATTGCTACTCTGCAGGCAAATGAATAGTGCTGTTGCAGGCTTGTACAGTACAGGTAGCATACATTAATAGGTGTCTAAGGAATTGTGAATGTGCAGCATTTCTGGGAATCTCAAAACTGGAACCCATGAAAACACATTTATATTATCACAAGCATAAAGGATATGAAAACTGAGTTAATATCATTAGGAATCCAGATTGCTCTGGATTGAACCTAGAATCCAGCAAGGAAGTTAAGGGGAAGGATTTTGGGTCATTCCAAAATGCCTTAAAATGCTTGGTTTATTTAAAGCTTATGAATGGGACCTTTTCCCTGAGAAAAGTTTTGTGAAGGACAAGAAGTAGAGTCTGTTTAAAGGCATTCTTTTCTGGAGGAACTACATGTTGAGTTTAATCTTCTTTCCACAATCCTGCATAGAACTATGCTAGTACTCCCTGACCTTCACAGCCTGTCGCTGTCCCCAGGCTCACAATGATGAAGATTAAGAAGGAATTAGGATTATATTTTTTCCCCTTCTGTTCAGTGACAGAAATCTATCATTTACATGAGGCAGCATCAAGTGATGTTCTGCTGTTGTTAAAATGGCCTAAACTTTCAGATATGCCATATCTTGTTACTGAAAAGACTAAATGAATGCAGCAAAATACAGCGAGCAACTCTAAAGTATCTGGATATAGAATTATTTATGTGTTTTGGTTTTTATTTACTTAGTGGTTCAATTAGATATTTTATAATTCCCCATATAGCAGTCTCAAAAGTGGCCAGGCATTTTGCCTATGTTGATCCCAAGATAACTGTATCAAATGTGAATCCTCTTTACCAGTAACAAATCTTACATGCGTGCTGTTTGAATCTGCATTGCCAATTTGAATGTTTTGTCTATACAGTCTAATATATATATACACTTAACCACAAGTATGGAAAAGTTCCATCGCTGTACATAAAAACAAGCAGCACATCTGAGTCTGAGGACTAACAGAGGGAGAACTGAATCCTACCAAAACCTACTCTCTATGCTCAAATATTCATTTTGCAATGGTTCCCACTCATTGTCATTTCTGACTGGCAGTGCATACAAAGGGGCATGCAGCTGCTCAGCCTGACAGTTCCAGCTGGAGCTATTTTTGAGTCATCTGCATAGAAGGAAAAAGGCGATCAGAATAATTTTTAAAAATGAAGTAAAGTTTACAAATTCACATAAGGACTAAACAGAACACTCAAACTTTTAGTCAGAAAAGAGAGGGTATGTGTGTGAAAAGTGCAAAGAGTTTGTGTCTCATCAAATTACTTCCTGTGGGTATTGTAGCTTCCATTTTATGTTATTAAAACTAGCAGAAGGGTAAGTGACTTGGTATCATCTGGTCCATTAATACACCCACAAGTAATTTACTGCTTCCCAGGTCAAGATGCTGAAGCCAGAAATGTCATTGTTAGAATGAATATAATGCAAATATAAACCCATGGCTAGAGCTGGGGGAAATTTAAGTACTTAACGCCTAAATTGTATTGGAAATAAAGTTTCTCTATTCCTAAAGATTGTCTTAATACACATATCCAGAGGTCTTCCCTTCCCTGACCCTTGCAAAGTGTTCAGCTCCTAATGTGTTTATTTTACAAAAATTACACCTCCAAGCATAAGCTGTGTGTGAAGCATAAGCTGGCCTATCAAAATGAGTTGATGGTTCACATTTCTTTCTAGTAAACAAGTTGATCATTGGTGTACATGTACATGCCTGGCCTCAGGAATGAACCATTAGTTAAAATGTTACAATCCCTATTTTGTATCTCTCCTACTGAGTGCTTTAATCACTGAATTCCAAATAACACCCTTTCTATCTTCAAAGTTCATAAATTCAGTAATCTTGAACTTATTCTCATACAATAAAGGAACATCAACAACTGAGTTGCAATGTGCTCCCTTGCATGAGTATCTGATAATCAGCTCTTTGAAACACTAGTAGTAGACTGGAAGTAGGACATGTTGATTTGTAATCATTTGGGGCTCCTCTGAGTAAAAAGTCTGTTCCCCACAGTACTGTACAACAGCTTCATTATTAAAATAAAACATAAAATTTTTCAAAATAAAATTCTTATAAGTGAAAAGGTAATACTTTATCTCAAATGTAAAATATAGTTCTTTAATTTTATGCTCTGAACTGGAGTATTTTTTCACGTGGTTTTAGGTGGAAAACTTCCCATAAAAGAGAAATTATACTTTTTTAACAGAGATAAGAATTACTTCTCTGATGATAAAACTAACATTATTTATGAAAAGTCATACCTGATTGTATGTGAAATGAAACACTAAACTCCAATTTCTTTTAAGACTAGGATCACAGACACAGATTCTAATAAAGATGCAGACGACTGTGTCTTAATTATGGGGTTTAATTGCACAACATTTAATTGTCTTGCCTATTTTCTCACTTGGGTGCATACACCCCATCAGTGCCACATACCTTTTTCAGTTTGATAACTCCTTCCTGGGTGTTCTCATCTGTTGTAATGTCAAACAAGTTTCCTCCATCCCCTGGAACTATATTATACTCAATTTCTGCATTTTTCCCAAAATCAGGGTCCACAGCTCTGATCCTTCCAATAGCAGAACCGACGTGAGAGGACTCAGGTACTTTTAAATGGAAGATACCTGTGACAAAGTGGTAGACAGTCATTCTTGGGATTTCTTGACAATTAGCATAGTATGTCTGATTAAAACCATGGAGCCTGGGCAAAATAAACAGACTTAAATAATCCAGTTAAAATTATGAGATCAAAACAACAAATGATTAGAAGAAGATATGCATGTTTTACCCACTGATTTCCCCTAGTTTCTAAATTTGGTCCAGTGCAACTGTAAGAGCCTTATCATCTCTGTCTCTTGAGATAGATATCTGTATTTCTATCTTTAATTTTACCCATACGGTTGAGTCTTTTGTATTAAATTCTACTTGTAAACAGTATACGTTTATAAGCATTTCCTCCTATGTTTAACAATTTTTAGTATCTGATTTTTTTGTTTGAGAAAACACATCTATGCATTTCACAGTACTTGAAAGGAAAAATGCAGTGGAAAAAGGGTTTCAACCCATTTCTGTAATACTCAGTATTATAATTACATGTACAAGTCCTTGTGGGAAGATAAAGAATATTGTTTATACATTAGCCACCAGAGGGTGCTCTTACTAAAATTTCAGTGCTAAACATAAATTTTTAGCTCTGCAGTTTCATTTTCAGCTTATTTACCATTAGTGGTAATAAAAGTTAAAAAAACTCTCAACCAAACACAAAAATTACACACTTTTAAAATAAGCCATACTACTTATATGTGAGGACAGTCTGATTTCATTCAGGGAAACAGCTATGTCAAAAAAATGCAAGGCATAATAGCTGAAAAAGCTAAAAGAAAAGGTCCAAAGTACTTTGAGCAAGCCTTCACTTTAATGACATCAGTAGCAACAGGCCTAAGTTTATACCGTGCCCTGACTTACTACACCACTATTGAAGTGACGGCCTTTCCTGTTCAGCTGCATCTCTTGCTGGAATTTACTTTGCCTGTGAACACCACTGTGACAAGTATTTGCAGTGTGCAGGTAGCGTTATCTTACTTCATGCAGCAGCCTTTGCTGTCAAAATCACCAGCTTTTGGAACTGATTTCAATGGGCCCAGGATGTTTGATTTGCTTCATCCTGCCTCTCAGCAAAGCTAGCATTTGCTTGCCCTATGATTTCTTTTCCTGGGTCATCCTCCAGCAGCTCTCATACAACAGCCCCTTTGGTGCAGGAAAACATTGGCAACGGCCTTTTCTTTTCCTCTCTATGTGAACACATAGGAGGACATATACACTTCTTTTTCAGTAGTACAGCAGGACGGGCACCTATGACTAGTGGGAGGTGTATCAGGGGAATTTCTCTGAGATTTCTGCTTGGTACTGGTTCAGTCCCTCTTCACAAAATAAGGCTCTGAGAAGTTGTATATTGTGTAACAGCAGGATAGATGACTTTCACATCCAGCCGTTGAATTAAACAGCAGATGCTGTTGCCTGTCATTATCTCCTCACAATGCATGCTGTGCCAGCTTTTTCAGCTTTGCAATATATCCAGGTGAGGGAAAAAATGACATTAGGACTGCTGGATTAGGAGCAAATCTACTCTTTTGTGAGCTAGCAGTTTGGACTGTATAATTGTCTGATTACCTCTGAAAAAAATCTGTTTTGTTTACTTCCTCCCTTTGCCTGTCAGTATGAAAAGTATACCTGAAGGCAAACCTTTTCTTGTTTCCACAACATAGTTTTAGCCCTGATACGCAGTTCTTCTACAGACTCTTACACTGGATGACAGAAATCATTGCTGCAGTGTTTGCTCTTTACAGCCACAGTTTTAGTGAACATAAAATGTAAAAGCATATGATAATGGATTTTTACTTTTTTGCCTAGTTGGGCTATTCTTAGTCAACTGAAGAGCACTCAGATTCATTAAAACAAATATTTCTCCATAAAACATTGTACCTGGCTGTAAAATGTATGGGACGTAGATGGAGTCAAAGAAACACTACATTACTCATTTCAGATGGTTTAGGCTTTTATCAGTTATTGTCAATGACTTGGCATTTCATCACTTCCAGAAATTCAACAGCAATAAAGATAGGGTCATTCAGATTAATTTGAAATTCTGAAGTAATCTTCAGCTCTGCCAGAGTCAGATCTCTGAAGATGTAGTATGTAATTACATGGCCATCGTCCTCCTGTAACATTATCTTCACAGCATATGGAAGCTGTTAATGGTGCTAGTGTGACAATACTTTGAGAATAAAATAAGTAAAAACAAATAATGTATATTGTTCCCAGCTCAGGGAAAAACTTCAAGAGAAAATAATGTATAGCAGAAAACCATCTTTTTTCATGCCAGGAAATAGTCCTTGTATAGAAGACATTTGAAATGATAACACATGCTGCACATGAAATACAACAGAAAGACAGTTTTGTGGATTTTTATTTTTCTGTTTCTAGAACACATTATTTGTTGCTGTGGACTTGCTGTGACAGTTTAGCATTATTCAGTTTTTACCGTCCATTTTGCCTGTGTACACTATTACCTCCATTTGCTGTAGAGGTATATCAAAACAGGCCTGAGTAATAACCTTTTACTCCCAAAGGTCCTAAAAATCTGGTTCTCTGCAGCTTCTAGGAATGATGTAACAAGTAGCTCAGACAAACTTACACAGCAGCTGGTTACGCTGCTCAAACAGTTCTGTCAAATTCTGTAGATTGTCACATGTGACTTCTCTGCCTACAAAAATATTTTCTTCCACTTGCATTAGCCTCTTTTAAATGTGTTTTCTAAGTTTGCTGCTGGCTTTTGTAAAGGATGAGTTATATTGGATGTACCAAAGGAGCAAGCCCTTTCTTCGCTCAGGCTGCATTATGAAACTGGACTCTGCAACTAGTTACCTTTCTGCTGATATCACTCGTGTATATTGCATGCAAGTCAGAATATTTTCATCTATAGGAAAGACAGTAGCAATGCATATTGTCTGGTCAAGATTTTTCACTCTCTTGTAAATGGAATTTTCAGGGTGAAAAAAAAAAGAAGTTATTTTTAACACCAAAGGTCATGTGCCAGTTGACATGGTTAACTTACACAATACTTCACACTTAAATTACACTTAAAATCCAATCCAGAATCCAAAACTAGAGAAAGTGAAGCTACAGTGATTATGTAGCTTAGCATAAGCATTCAGGCTTTCCCTTATAAATCCTGTATACTCTCTAAGTGACTCAAAATGTGAAAGTTCCTCAGAGTTTCAGGTTCAGCGGCTTCAATGACGATGATAAAAATACATGAGTGATGATGCTGTTGAAGCTTTTAGGCTGAAATGACAGATAGAGCTTATTAGCCAGCCCCAAAACTCGGTAATAACCATTCAGGAAACTGAAGTGGAGGTGAGCTAACATGCTGCCTCTGAGTTTCTAAAATAAAGATGATTCCAAAGCACATAGCAGGAAAAAAAATCAGAGCTCAGTAAGTGACAGGTAATCTGGTAATCAGTCATATTGACTGAAATTCAGCACACGTTTACAATTATTTTGACATGATTAGACTAGTTTTAGCTTTTAAGGCTCCAAAGATGTTCTGGGGTTTTACTTAAAGAGGTTGGGTTTTTTTTTAATTTTATTTTATTTCTCTACACCTTCCATTCATGAGTACATCATCTTTTACCAAGAAGGTTTTCAATTCTAATAAGAAGAAGAAATGAAAATCGTTATTACATCTCATCAGCAAAACAAGTATTAAGAAGTAACATAGGTTAGCATCTACAGACTCAAGCTAAATGCATAATGGCCTTCAACCAAAGAGCTGCAAATGCTATTTGAACTTTTTTCTAATCTGTCACTATACAAGTACTGTGTGTATGCAAGATTATCCTCTCCTGCTTTTTCTTTGTCTGTATTTTTTTCAGTTGTCTTTGGCAGCTGCCGAAGTATTGCATTGCAGTTAATAGTGATAGCATGAATCTTATAAGCAACCACATTGAAATAAATATATTTCTTTTTGACCTAAATCTTTAATGTTTTCTCAGGAGAAAAAAAAAAATAAATCAGATTATGTATATGATAATATTCTTGTTATCTTAAATTACCAAGGCAGTTCAGTTTTTATCCTGGTCAGGTTATAAGGGCACTGATTTCTGTCTGCTTCGGAAGAACCCAAAGACAATAGTTCATGTATACTTGCTGGTGTTTTAACAGCAAGTTTATAAGCAAAAGGAAGGATAGTGTAAACACAAGCAGATACTTAGTATACTAAACCTGTTACATCAGCTAGAGCTAATCAGCCTAATAATTAGTGGCATCTGATGTACATGCTCCTAAAACTGGGAAGATGAGATTTAGCACAGCATGTTCCTCTTCCAGCTGCAACTCTGAACTGCAGGGGGCTGAGATCTTGTGCAGGAAAGAAAAAGGCCAGGCTTTGTCACCATGTGCTCTGATGCAGGTCATGCATGACCCAGCATAGGCTGGTAAAACTTCTCCCATCCTCTGACTAGGCTAGGGTTTATGGCCTCATTAGACAGAGAATAACCATTCTTAAAAAATTCCTGTTTCTCTGCTGTGGATGCCAAAGTCCGCACCTAGCAAGAGCTACATTTCCCCAGACTGCAAAGATCCTGGATGTCCAAGGGTCCCCAGTTCTTCAAGGGAAAATAAGCAGAAGCAAAACTACTTTAGAGTTTGATCCTGCCCAAGTTTAGGGTAACCCACATGATGGAGTTTCCCCAGATGCAGAGCCAAAACTCTGTCAGCCTCTCAGGTGAGCTAGAAGACTGAGTTTTTGAGGCCATCCTCTTCCTCCTTCCCTAAAGGGGAAAAAAAAAAGTTCATCATACCTGGTATAATTTTTGTATACTGAAAAATTTCAGTTTAATCATTTGTTGTTTTTTTCCAGTAATAAGCCATTGTCAGAAAGCTTTTTCAAAATAAACCTCCTCATTGCATGTCGGAGACTAATTCCACAGAGCATAACATCCCCTTTGTTGGAGCAAGGGTTCAGGAAATGGGAAATGTCAGTTCATTATCTCAGCTGAAGATATTTGGACCCACAGCTTCTGCTTCCAAAGAGTGCTGGGTGTAGCAAAGGCAATACAGAATATTGTCTTTAATAACATAGTGTAGAA